ACTTGAGCCACAGCGCCACTTCTGACTTTTTCTGCTTATGTGGTGCTGAGGAATTGAACCCGGGCCTCATGCATGCAAGGCAAGCGCTCTACCACTGAGTACCTTCTCAGCCCCACCAGATTATTTTTTATTTGATATTTGTTTTCCCTCCTTAAATGTGTTAAGTACATTTGATTTACTGTGGTTTTGAAGTTATATGTGTGTGTATAATATCTCAGTTTTAAAACCTAATTTGTAAAGATCTGTAGACGTTGTCTAATATGCACAAGCTCTCAGGAGTCTTTAGTAACTTTTTAAGTATAAAGGGGCTTCAGATAAGAGTTTGAGGCCATAGTGTTAAGGTAAGAATCTGTTTTACTCTCCTTTTCCTAATAGAGTTTTCCTTCATAATATGTAATTTTATTTCATGTGGTTTGTGACAGTAGAAGAATATTGACCTTAAAAGGCCTTACCTAAAAGGCTAAAGTTCCCATGTAATGGGGCAGAATTCTCAAGATAATAATAAACAGTGACTTAGGGCGGCTTTTCTAGTAAGAGCCTCTTGGAAGACTCATTTAAGAGAATGGCCTAGTTGGGCTGCGGAAGCTGGAGAGTACCCCCTTTCATCAGTGGCTGCATAATTTATATGGATGTATTTTGTCTGGTAGATATGTAATATATGTCCATCTAATTCACTCACTAATCGCAAAAGTAATATGAAAGCCTTTCTTTTTCCTCTCTTTAATCTACCACTCTGGAAGAAACAGTTTTATGTTTGAGATCCTTACAGTTGTTTTTTTTTTTTTTTTCAAATATACAAATACACACACACGTATTTTCTGGTTGGTTTTTTGATTGGCCCAAAGTCAGGCTACTTGTTAGACCTATGAAAAGATAAAGATCTCTGTTCACAGGGTCTCTAACGTGTGGACCCTGCCCTGGAACTACCTCCCCGCTTCTTACTGTCTTGGGTGCCTTTAGTTGATGAGGCACTTTACAAAGAAGGGGGAGAGAAGAAGTGCCTATCTTCTCAAGCCTCAGCTGGTAGGCCTTACCTCTTTTCCTACTGCCTCCTGATCTTACTTGGACTTTGCATCCAGTCAGGGTGGCTGTCTCCTGCTTATTGTCTAAGTCAGTATATCACACTCAGATGTTAAAATGTAGGTTGCTGAGTCTGTAGGTCCGGATGGGGCTGAGATCTGAAGTGCCGAGTTTCTAATAAGTGAACAGGAGATGCAGAGATTGCTGCTGTAACCCAGTGTTCCCTGAAAGGAGGGATAAAATCCATCTACGCTGCCTATTATCAGTCTGCCTATGAGCAGAGCATTTGTCCTCTTGACCCATAGTTTCTCTAGTGATTTCTATATGCCTTAGGATTTACAATCTACTTGAGGAAATTCCTATCTCCAGGTTCTAACATGGACTCCAGTTTTGCCTAGTGAAACCACTCAAACTCAAAATGTGTGAATCTTAACCTATCCCCCTTTGTTTTCCTCACCCCGATTCTGTTCCTGTCAGAGGCTAACTAAGTTCCAAGTTTGGGATGACTTAGTTTTAACCTTTCATGTATTCCTTCTCAAAAGTGATTCCACCAAATACGAAAGTTGAAATTGGTATGTTTATTGTAGATGGTATCTAATGTTTGTGAACTTAGATAGCAACGTCTTAGTTTGTGATAAGTACTAATATTTTTTTCTGAGGGTACCATTGAACAGTTATTGAATAATGGCATAATAGCATTGTTTGTGAATAGTTTACAAAATGAGATATAACCATAGACAAAAAATAGAATATAGCTAAAAATGAAGCTTTAAATCTTGAAAGACTTTATTTTTAAGGACTGTCCTTGTGCCTGCTAGGTAAGTGCTTTATCACAGAGCTACATCCCCAGACCCTAAAAAAGTGGATCTTCTGGAACATACACAGAAGAGTATAATGAACCTCTGAGAACTCCATAGCAACAGGTTATTTTGTTTATTTTTTATGAGAGATTTTTAAAGTATTAATAGACTTAATTGGTTTTACAAAAGTTTCATTTCCCTTATTTACATCTTGAATGTGCATCTTAGATTATTCTCCGTTAACACAATAGAAAGTCTAGATAGGCTACAAAGAAGAGAGGTTTGTTTTGTTGGGTTCCTGGTTCTGGTTCAAGATTGAATGACTATACCTATGAATCTGTGATGGTCTTCCTTTAGACAGAGTCCTGAGGCACTAGAGGGCATAGTGACAAAAAAGAGAAATGTGAAGGAGAACCAGCCAAACTGGCTTGTATAGCAGATCCATTCTCAAAATAACCCATTCATCTGTTAATTGTGTGAATGGATTGGTCTGTTCCGGAGGGCAGAACACTGCTTCCTCAAAGTCTCACCCCCATCCCTCTGAGTAGGTCATAATGGGGCTTTAGTCTCAGTACAATTTTAGGAGGTGGTGAACACAATAGGCAAGCCATAGTAGTGTGTGGTAAATATATTACAACTGTTGGGCCAGTATTGATGCATTATTATCATTAATTAAAGTGTTTACATTAGGATTCATTATTTGTATGGTTCATTCTCAGCATGATGACAAATGCATAGAGAAGTATCCACCATTACTGCATTGTACAGAAATCTTTGTGTTCTATCTGTTCTTCTTTCTCCTATCATCTCCTGGTAACCACTGATCAATATATTCTCTCTATGTTTTGCTCTTCAAGAATTTAATATAGTTGAAATCACAGTATGTAACCCTTCCACATAAACTTCTTACACATAGCAGTATGCTTAGGTTCCTTCTTTTTGTTACTTGGATAGCTTTTTTTTTTGTAGTGGGGGCTTGAATAGTGCTCTGCCACTTGAGCCACAGCACCACTTCTGGTTTTCTGGTGATTAATTGGAGATAAGAGTCTCATGGACTTTCCTGCCCAGGCTGGCTTTGAACCTTGATCCTCAGATCTTAGCCTTCTGAGTAGCTAGGATTATAGGGCTGAGCGCCCATCTTGGATAGCTAGCTCATTTCTTATCAGTCAGTAATAGTCCTTTATATGACTATAATAGTTTGCTAACCCATTTACCTGGGGAAAGACATGTGAGTACTTCTAGGTTTTGTGTGGCCACAAATCTGAACTCATTTGGGAAAGTCTTGAAATACCTATTTTGTATATTAAAATGGGAACTGTAGTTTGACCTGGCTCCTTTAGTAAGATTCTCCATACATTTGTAATGCTGTTAGAGTCTCTTCTCACGTCGTGAGAGCTTTTATGGGATCTGTCAACTTCTTAGATGATGTTTCAAAAATTTTGCATAATTTACACTTTGGGTTGAAAACTTAATGAGTTTTGATAAATGTGTGATATATCTACTGCTACCATTCAGAACAGTTTTACCACCTAAAAGGCCTCTGCATTTAACTGATCTTTTGCTGTTACTTTACTTTGGTCTTTTATAGGATATAGTCCATCAGATTGGCATCTTTAACCTAATATATGTATTTAAATAAAGTTTCTGTGTGTGTATGCTTAGTTACTTTTTACTTTTTTTTCTTTTTGGTGGTACAATGATTGGAACTAGAGCCTCATGCTTCCTAGACAAGCTTACTGCCCTTTGAGCCATACCCACAGTCCTGTTTTTTTGCTTGTAGTTTTGGAATTGCTAGTGTCTCAAAGTTTTATCTGAGCCTCTTCCCTTCTTTCCTTCTTTCTTCCTCTGTTTTTCTCATGCTAAACCAGTCTTGAATACCTGAAATCTTTTTTGGACAGGATAAGTAATTTTTGTTGGTTTGGCTTTGCTAATATTTTAGTAAAGCTTTTTGCATATATTTTCACCAGAGGTATTGAATCATAGATCTTCTTTCTAGTTTTGATGTTCACAAACATGCTTTTAAAATTTTCCTTTATTACTCTCCAGCTTTTATCTACATACATTTTCAGTTATTTTAATTGTGTAAAAGTGGTGTACAAGTTGTTTTATATACTAAAATTGTTCATTTACAATCTCCATTTAGTCTCTAGTTAAACTTTTTTGTACTCCTTCATATATTTTATTGTGTGGTAAAATGATATGTTTTACGAATAGTTGCCCTTAAAGTCATGTTGAATTTTAGAATGAGAAATGTCCTTTAGCTGAATTTATAAAAATATGGTTATACTCCAAAATCTCTAGAGTTCTTCTTTAGGATTATAGTTATATTATGAGAATGATAGGAACCTTTTACTTTCTTTTAACTAGTAAGAAGTGTGGTAGCCCTTTGTACTTGCATAGGTATTTGTACCTAGGAAAAACAAGGGAATCCTGTGCTTTGTCAGTGCTGCTGTGTCACAGACACGGTTTGAGTGGCAGCATGGGGACACCACATTTCTACCCAGCCTTTACCTTCTATGTTCTCTGTCTTCCTCTCACACATCATTTCTTTCCATCCTTCATGTGGAACAGAAGAAATTTTACATTTCTTATTTTCAAATATTAAAATAAGTAAATTGAATATTTTAATTTTTAAATAATATTTATTTTTAATTGGCACACAGTAATTGTATATGCTTATGGGATGCAGTGAGACATTTTAAAATATGTATATCAGGTATAATCTGATCAGAGTAATTGGCAGACTTGTCCCTTAGACTTCATATTTGGCTCAGTCAAATCCTCTCTACTGGGTTATTTGAAATATTAATTTTAATTGTTGTCAACCACAGTTATCCTCCTGTGCTATAGAACTTTATACATTAATCCTTCAAGCCACCTGTACCCCTGTACCTGTGTAAACCGTCCCCATCCCCCTGCCCCTCACTGTCCATTCTTCCCTTCCTCTTCCTTTCCCCTTTCTCTGACTTTGCCATTTATCCTTTGGTTTGCTTAGTGTTTCTATAAGTAAAATGTTTTTCAATTTAACGTAGATTGTGCAAAGCATAGATGATGGCAACAAAGAGGAAATTTTAAGACTTAGTAACTTAAGTAAAACAGAAGTGTACTAAGCTAATTATGAGCTTTTAAAGTGGAGGAAACACTGCTGACTGGTTGTGTTTCTGTGTCTGCAATTCACAGGCAGAAAATCCCCCTAATGGACCAGAGTGTGGATATGGCTCCTTCCACCAGCAGTACTGGCTTGATGGAAAGATCATTGCCGTAGGGGTGATTGACATCCTTCCACACTGCGTGTCGTCTGTCTACTTGTACTATGATCCTGGTTATTCATTTCTATCGCTGGGGGTCTACTCTGCCTTACGGTAAGATTGCTTTTTGCAGTTGTGATGGGTTACAGAGAACTTCAAATAATTACTCATTTGGTCATATTTCAGAGTAGGGTAGAAATCCTACTTGACAGTATATATAATAGTTTGTTGCTATAATCTTTTATTATACATTGGTATTTATAAACAACACTTGTAAAAAAACTAATGCCATATCTGATGGTAATTTTGTAAGACTTTAATGTTTCCACACATGCCAGTGTATAGGAAACCATTGTTTTGATGCTTCTGGTGTTTTCATCCATTTGTTTAAACTGTCGTGTCAATACCACTGAAGTTCCTTAAATGTTGTCCCTTAAATGTTGTCATCAGTATCATACATATTCTTCCACTGTCAATTAGAAGTTAATGTGGTTTAAATGAATAAAAACCTATGTCTTCTGAAAGAAATGCTGGTTTCCAGTCCCACATTGCCCGAGGAAGGGAAAGCATTTTGAGAAATGTTTCATTAGGCAGTTTGGTGGTTGTACAGTCATTGCAGAGTGTGTGTATACAAACTGGAGTGACATGAATGATACTGGACAGAATGGCTTTATGGTTATGTTGTTGATCGAACATCATTATGGACATGTAACTATCTCAGGATACAAAGCAGGATGAAAATGCCTGGTTTATATCCGGACTCTATGACCCTCATTAGAAGATGGTTTTCCTTCTGGTCTTGGCTATACATACATATGTACATAACACAGTGCAATTTTTTAATTGTATGAAGATTGGGGTTTTCATGAAAATATCTTTATTCCTGCTTGTGTGTGTTTGTGTGTGCACATGTGTGCACCCACACGTGCACTTGCATGCCACCTGTCAGTGTTCTTGAAAGATGAGTTATTGAGTTGATAGACGAGGAAAAAGGAGACTAACATTTTGAAGGAAAATAAGGAAAGCAGATTAAAAGATGCTAATTTGACTGTTGATTTTAATGTATTTCAGTGAACTCTGTTTCATACTCCCCCTCAGTTTCTTCAGTTTCTCAAGCAATCCTACAATCAATAGAGTTTTATATTTTCAGGTTTTTATATAGTATGTTAGGGGTTTGTGTGTATTTGTGTTTGTGTGTGAGAGAGCATGTGCATGTGTATGTGTGTGTGCCTGTGTTGATAATGGGGTTTGAACTCAAGGCCTTGAGTTCTTGCTTAGCTTTTTTCACTCAAGGCTGGTGCTCTACCACTTGAGCCTTGCATCTGGCTTTTTACTAATTAATTGGAATTAATAGGCTCTTGGATTTGTCTTCCCTGGCTGGCTTTGAAATGTGATCCTCAGATATCAGCCTCCTGAATAGCTAGGAATACAGACTATTCTTTGCGCTGCTTGTATTTAAAAATACATATAACTTAAAGATCAATTTTTGGGTTAGCCACTTATCAACAGTGCAAATTTGAACTTGCAAAATAAGCAGAATATTTATTCCATTAAAAATTTCCCTGAGCCGGGTGCTGGTGGCTCACGCCTGTAATCCTAGCTACTCAGGAGGCTGAGATCTGAGGATCACGGTTCAAAGCCAGCCCAAGCAGGAAAGTCCGTGAAACTCTATCTCCAGTAAACCACCAGAAAACCGGAAGTGGTGCTGTAGCTCAAGTGGTAGAGCGCTAGCCTTGAGCTGAAGAGCTGAGGGACAGCACCCAAGCCCAGAGTTCAAGCCCCACAACTGACCAAAAAAAAAAAGAAAAAAAATTTCCCTGAATTTCAAACATCCATACAGCTAAAAGAAGAAAAAAGAAAAAAAACCCATAAAACCTTCAAGAGTCAAGCAAAAATAAAAGTTTTCCTCATGCTTTAGAAATGCACTCAGGTTCTACTTAGAACTGACTCTGAGAAATGAGATAAAGAAAGCCAGGTTATATATCTTGGTACTTTTCACCTGTCTTTCTGTAGGATAATAGACATTAAATTTGCACCCAACTACAAGAAAAAGTTACGTATCATACATGCCTGAAAATATTTTCATGTTAATGATAATAATAGTTATTCTTCCTAGTGTTTATTGGCTTTTGAGTTTTAATGTACTGTTTTATTCTGTTAGCAGCCCAGATGTTTTGAAAATTGGAGGACATAATGAATAATAACCAGACACTGTAGCTTTCTTTAATTTGATGCTTGTAGCTTTCTCTAATTTTATTTGAATTTTAGATCATTACTTTGCCTAATGTACACTCTAACTTTGTTACCTTATTTTTTTCTCTTTTTAGTGCCAATCCTGGCATTTGAACTCAAGGCCTGGGCACCTTCTAAGGCTAGTGCTCTACCATTTGAGCAACAGCTTCACTTCTGGCTTTTTTGGTGATAAATTGGGGATGAGAGTCTCATGAACTTTTCTGCCCTGGCTGGCTTTGAACCACAATCCTCAGATCTCAGCCTCCTAGCTAGGATTATAGGTTTGAGCCACTGGCACCCTATTGAACTTTGATGCCTTTTGCTCAAACAATTTGGAAGGCCTTTGGGTGTCTCTTTAGTAATAATCATCTTAGTGTTGGGAAAATTATTTTTCTTTCAGGAGTTGTTTCTTTTTATACTTAATAGTCATATTTTACCAAATATTTGCCATCAGATTACATGGAGTTTTTTGTTTTGTTTTTAAAATTGGAGCCAGAATTAACTTTACTTTCATCTTCTTTTGGCAGAGAAATTGCTTTTGCTAGGCAACTTCATGAACAAACATCTCAGCTTTGCTATTACTACATGGGTTTCTACATTCATTCCTGTGCCAAGATGAAATACAAGGTAAAGTCAGTTTTCATGCTTGTGTTTTCATTACAAAAGAGAGATCTTTAATGAACTGTGTCTCAGGGCAGAAGACTGGAGTGTTGAACAAGGAAGAGTGGGTTAATAAGGAGACCCCTTTGCTATCTCAAGAAACTCACTTCATATAATGAGAGTCATAATCTTCATCACACTGGCATTGTGATACTGAGGTACTTAAGAATATTTCAGAGTTTTTTAACAATGGGTTTTATGACTGTAGTAAAACCCTTTGATGTTTAGTAAATTGTAGTGGAAAACCAAACCCCAGAGGGGCAGATTTCTCTCCTGCCTATGTGTGAAGCCCTGTAAGTTCATAACATGCGGAGATACATTTAAGGGTCTTCTAGGTAAAGCTGGAGCACTTTGTGTAAAACCATCTCTTAGAGCGGTAAGTAACTGGCCTGGCCACACGTGGGCTTTTCCTCCACAAATTGAACAAGGAAGGAAAAGAGGGGCTTGAGAAAGAGAAGGCATGATAGGCCACACATTTTGAGAAGGAACCTATAAGGAGTTGAGGTAACAGTACCTTTGATATAGATGCCTATCATTTCATTGTACAAATGATAACCAGGGGACTAGAATGACCTTGAAAGCTGGACAGTTGAGAGTCATTGATTTCAGACCAAATGCGCGTGCGCATGCGCGCGCGCGCACACACACACACACACACACACACACACACTCACTCACTCACTCACTCACTCACTCACTCACTCACTTACACACCTCTGTATATACATATAGAGATATCTTCTACTTCCAAATACTTAACCTTTTACTACTGTGTTCTTGAGCTCATTTTTATTTTATAGTGCTAGATCTAAATTAATTTAGTTCAGGGTAGAAAACTCACATGTTCTAGATATTTTAATCCACTTACAAGATTACTTTGTATATTAACCTTCTTCTATTTAGTATAGTATAAGACTCATTCTAAACAGAAGTGTATTTATAGCTGACTTTGGGACTTGCAAGGATTTAGTTTCCAATCTGTCATGTTAGGTGTCCTACTATTCAGTGTTTAATGTGCAGTGTCACAACATTTCTCCTGGCAAGTTTTTCCTTAACTCTAAATTACTCTATTTTAACCCATTTCTCATTTCTGGACCTTAGTAGAAGTGATTTTAGTTCCATTGACCCTTTGCTCTTCATGAAGACTTTGAATTCATATCTCTATGGCCTATAGTTAGACTTCAGTATTTTATGCTCTGTAGTCTTTCTAGGTAGAGCTCCACATGGAAATTCAGATTTCTAAAAATGCCTTCCATGCTGTGTAATCTGGCTTAATCCAACACAAGCTCATCACAATTACAGTTTAAGGATATATATTAGTTAAATTCTGTTGCATAAGAGACAGGCTCATGCTTGGTTGCTTTCTTGCTCTCTTTTTATTCATGGAATATATGTTGAGCAATACTAGAAATATATTGCTCAGCAGTGAACAGCACAAATGCCAAATTCTTTCTAAGTACCCCTAAGCTTATTGGTTCTAATCTGATCTACAGTAATAAAAGCATTTCAGGGATTCTAATTCCTCATTTCCAAATCCCCAACTCAGTATGTTGGTTTCAGCACACAGTGAAATTAAGTTGGTTACAACATAAAGTGGAAAGTTGATTTGGGACTCAATTTAACTAAACAAAACTTGAATTTCTTCTAGTATATTCATCTTTTTTCTTCTTGGAGGAGATGGTTCTGAAATTTTGTTTGATCCTTTGTGATTTTGTAAATACTGTGAGGTGATAGAATTTTTGAATATTAAATTGAAAGTTTAAAGCCTGTGTTTTCCTAGCACCATTTTTTGAAACTACTTTTGGGCCCTCAAAAACATGTTGATTTTAATTTATGTATTGTCAGTTTAAAAAATATTTCCATTGCATTATGATTGAATCTAAACTAATCCTAGGTAACTAGAGAAGTAATGATGCTATATTTTAGCTAAAAGTATTATGTTTTGAATAAATATGAAGAAACAGCATGTCTGCTTATTAAAAATAGATCTTTTCAAAGCTATTTCCTGCTGGAAAGCAGAAATGCTTTTCTCCCTTTGTGCTCCTCCTGCTTTCACCCTGTTACACTAAAATAAACCCTTTCCAAAAATTTCAAAGCAAAATAAAATAGGTCTTTTTTTTTTTTTTTTTAAAGCTTTGTGCTCTCACTTGGCTTTTTCACTTATAGCTAGCTCTCTGCCACTTGAACCTCTGCTTCTGGCTTTTTTAAAAAATATTTTTTTTTGTTTCTTTCTTTAACCTCTCTCTGCTTTCACTTTTTTTTTTTCCAAATTTTTTATTGTGATTAAGTGGTTACATAAATTTCCCAAATTTCACAGTATTGTGAATAGTGATGCTTAAAGTCACAAACACATTCTAACTTTCATGGAGCAAATTGTCTATCATAGTCTATAACATTTATGAGTTCTATGAGCTTTGTGATATAGTTATTTCTTCCACATGGGGTGATATGTACATTTTTTTTGTTTTGCATAGCATCAGCTGTTCCCTCTTTCCCACTCGTTCCCTCCCTCCCATTGCTGCCATTGTGTTGCTTAGTTCATTTTGGTCAGTGTCCAGTGCAGCTGATGGGTCCTGCTGTTATATGTTTTTCCCTGATTCCCTCTAGTTCTGTGTCGTCCTCCTGGTTTCCCTCCGGTGTGCTCATATATACAATACATGTGATCATTAGCATGGGGTTATTTAGTAGTGATTTGACCAGATGAGTGCAAGTCCTTTGTTTTTAAGTCCTGTTAATTTTGTTGTATCACCTAACATTTTGGATTTAACATCCACTAATCAGGGAGACCGTGTGCCGTTTGCCTCTTTGCACTTGGCTTACCTTGCTCAACATGATTTCTTCTAGCTCCATCCATTTCCCTGCAAATGCCATTATTTGTCCTTTCTAATGGCTGCATAATATTCCACTGTGTATAGATACCACAATTTTTGTATCCATTCATCTGTGGTGGGACATCTGGGTTATTTCCATATCCTGGCTATTGTGAACAGTGCTGTCCTTGTATACTGGTTCCTGTTGTTCAGGATAGATGCCTAGAAATGGTATGACTGGATCATAAGGGAGGTCAATATTTAGCTTTCTGAGGACCCTCCAGACTGCTTTCCAAAGTTGTTGTATAAGTGTACATTCCCACCAGCAGTATAATAGGGTTCCTCTTTCTCTGCATCTCCTCCAGCATTTGTCATGGCTCACTGTAGGATGTGGGCCATTCTGACTCGGATAAGGTGGTATCTCAGGGTTGTCTTTATTTGCATTTCCTTCAGAACCAGGGATGGTGAACATTTCCTCATGTGTTTCTTTGCCATTTTTATCTCTTCTTCTGAGAAGTCTCTCTTTAGTTCCCTTGCCCATTTAGTAATTGGTTTGTTAGGTTTGGGAGGGATTAGTTTCTTGAGTTCCCTGTATATACTGGGTATTAACCCCTTGTCTGATATACTGCTGATAAATATTTTTTCCCAATTAGTTGGTTGTCTTTCTAGTTTGGTTGCTATAGCTTTAGCTGTGCAGAAGCTTTTTATTTTAAGGTAGTCCCATTTGTCAAGTCTCTCTCCAATTTGTTATGACCCTGGGACTCTGTTCAGGAAGTTCCTGCCTGTGCCTATAAGTTCAGGTGTCTCTCTTACTCTGTCCTGCAGTAGTTTCAGAGATTCAGGTTTAATGTTAAGGTCTTTAATCCATTTTGAGTTGATGTTGGTGCATAGTGATAGGCTGGGGTCCACTTTTAGTTTTCTGCATGTGGCTGACCAGTTTTCCCAGCACCAGTGGTTGAAGAGGCTGTGTTTCTTCCACTGTATGTCTTTGGCTCCTTTGTCAAATATCAGCTGATTGTAGGTGTGTGGTTTTACTTCTGGGTCTTCTATTCCATTGGTCTTCGGGTCTGTTTTTTTGCCTGTACGATGCTGTCTTCGTTATTATGGCTCTATAGTAGAGTTTGAAGTCTGGCATCAAGATCCCTCCCATGTTGGGTTTTTGTTTTGTTTTTTTTTTTTTTTTTGCTTAGAATTGTTTTGGCTATTCTAGGTCTAAAAAATAATTTTTTAAATCGTTATTATAAAGGTGATATACAGAAGAGTTCCATTTACATAATTTAGGTAATGAGTACATTTCTTTTGGGACAGTGTCATCCCTTCCCCTTTTTTCTCCCAATTTTCCTTTCCATGCACAAATTGTATAGTTCCATGCACAAGTTGTATAGTTAATTTTCAGCATAGTAACTAGGGAGTACCACTGTTGCATTTGTTCACCCTTTGTCTCACCATTCTGTGTCCCTCCCACAATTACAATGAATAAAAACAACAACAGAGAAAAACCCCTCTGGTTTCTGTTTCTTGGAGTTCATTTCAATAAATATTATTTTATATGATCAGAGACACATAGGTATTGCAGCTCTGTGTTCCTTCCCTAAGAGTATCCTCCTTTGGTCTCACTGTGTGTGGGTATCTAGAATCCCATATATTTTATCATGCCCTGGGGTATTTAGATCTAGCTTCCACATAGGAAAGAAAACGTGACATTGGTCTCTCTGAGCTTGGTTTACCTCATGTAATATGATTTGTTCTAGGTCCATTCATTTCCCTGCAGATGATATAATATTTTTTTTCTACTGGCTGTGTAGAATTCCATTGTGTATAAGTACCACATTTTTTGATTCACTCATCTATTATAGCCAAGTTTCCATAACTTGGCTATTGTGAATAGAGCAGCAATGAATATGGATATACAAGTGTCTTTATGATATATATGGCTTGATGTTCTAGGTAACTGCCCAGGAATGGTGTGGCTGGCTAGGTAATAGGGAAGATGCATGTTTAGTATTTTGAGGAACTTCCAGACTGCTATCCAAAGTGGTTGTATTAGTTTATATTCCCACCAACAATGTAGTAGGGTTCCTTTCCCCCCCACATCTCCGCCAATATTTGTTGTTTGAATTCACAATGTTGGCCAGTCTAACTTGGGTGAGATGGTAT